AATATATCGAAATCCAGCGTTGAAAACCATCTGCATAAGTTTGGATACATGAATCGTACGATTACGATAATTAGGTACACGATTTAATCGAAAAGAAATTAATGGACCGCATTTCCATTTATGATTTGTTGCTCGACCACTTCAAAGGCCGGTCTTCATGCAGAAAAAGTAATGCTTTGCATCTGATGAGATTGGAAAGCTGTCGTAATATGAGCTATTATCAGATAACCAATCTCTTAAGGGAGAAAACCACTTTGACGGCCGAAAAAAAGTTATTTTCGCGAATTTTTTTTTTGCGGAAAATAATAAATATTATTTTTTTATTCATATATTCAAAGTACATATATTTAATATGTTGTAAAAATTTATGGAGTAATATTAATATTTGTGTTTTCTGCATGCGAAAGTATACTTCTATAAAAAAATCATGAGTGCATGGACGCTAAATGGGATTCTTGAAATCAAAATTGTTTATGTCACTTTCAACTGTATGAACTTAATTTCAGTTAAGTGTAGGATTTTTTTTAAATAGTAATTTAGTGAAACAGTAATTTTTAACAAAATAGCGCTGTTTTAAATAAAAATTCGCAATTTGGCGACAAATTGTTTCTTTTTAATTCTTTTTTATGAACTAATTATCTAATTTAAAAAATCCTACGCTCAAGCGAAGAAAATTTTGTTGTAAACATTTTGTTCACAAAGTTCAAGTCGTTCGGATAAAAATTGGCCGAAATACGCAAACTCCCGGTTACGCAAATGTAAATGTGAAAAACACGTTTAAAGTTGTACAGCAAATTAATTTATGTAAGTGATTAATTAGAGTGATAGAATTTCGTAATTAACCAAAGTGCTTCCAATCTGGGTGCATATGAAATATCTTCTAATTCAGTAGCAGCCTCGTTCTTCATTTGTCTATTCATCAATTTAGCCTTACTTGTCGCCGCTGTGCTCGAAACTCTGCAGCGGAGATTCGCTACTCGTCCTCGCGGTGACGATACTGTGCTGCTATCAGTCCAATTTTAACTCTCAGTAGCTCCATTATTTTTAATATACCTGTGTAGCCCCCATTGAATATGCCAACGACTAAGTATGCAACGATTTCGACCGCAGCTTTACTTGATGTAGTTTTTATGGAGCGAATCTCCAAAGCAATATTTCGTTATTATTTTGGGTAAAACCACCTAAACATTTTTGAAGTAGCCTTTTGTCACTCAAATCTTCATAAATTGGAGTGACTGTTATTATATTGATATATTGGTGACGACAACTGGGAGCGGTGTTTTGTATGTATAATCGCTCAATTGTCTTACATTTTGCCTGCTGTCAAACGCACCAAGATTCTGGTCCCTTCGGACGATAATCATGTTTCGGAGTTTCGTCGATTAAACTTTTATGATAGAGAGTGGCTTAAATTGCGTGATGCATTTCACTCACAGAATTCTAATGTCTGTGGATGGCTAGCCCATAAAAAAATATTCAAGGATTTATAATATATATTCGACAACAAAAAGCGCACAAGCTACAAAGGATCCAGCCTTACAGATCGAGTCTTTTGTAATTTCGCCGAGACTATGTAATAATTGTAAAACCAGTCGTCCTGACAAGCAGGTAGCCTGAAATGCTGAGCATCTTCAGGTAGCGTGCGGCCGGGTGCGCTATTCCATCACAATTACTACAGTTCCGTTACGAATTTCGACGTAATATTTTAGAGACATATTTTTAAGACTCCGAGTCTTATAAAAATACAAAATGGGAAAAATCGAATTTTTGAACCCATCACGGTGGTTGGTTTTCTCCCTTAATTCGGATAAGCATTGCCTGCAACTGGACTGCAAACTGCAACTGAAGACTGCAACCGAGAAACGTCCGGAACTGGTCAATAGGAAAAGCGTTGTATTCCACCAAGATAATGTCTAACTGCATCCATTTCTTTGACCACTCGTCGAAAATTATTTGAACTTTGCTGGGATATCCCTTATCCGTCGTACTCTTCAGATTATTACTTATTCCGTCCCGAAATTCTCTTAATGAAAAGAAATTCGACAATCTGAAAGCTTATAAATCTATCTGAAGCAATTGTTCGCTGAGAAAAATGGAAAGTTCTTTGAGGACGGAATAATGAAGCTTCTTGAAAGATGGAAGAAAATAGTCGAACAAATTTGTCAATACACTGTTTGATAAAGTTTTGAGGTTGCTCATGAAATATATCTTAAATTTCTTTAAAAAAAAACTTTCTGAGATTCTTTGGTCAACCTAGTAATGACGCGAAAAAATGGAGTATGAACGAATCGCAGAAAGTCCGGCGCGGACGTTTTGCGAGTCAAAGCGCGTTTGCATTTGACACAAAAAACGCAATGGTATACCTACGTGTTAAATAAGAGGAGAATATTAACTTCTTCGACTCCCTTCCCTCTTGTCGTGTACATTCGTTTTGTTTGCCTTCGTTCGCGCCTTAGTATCTTTATGGCTTCGAACGAAGAGAATTTAAAGGGGGAACTGCGGTGGCTCGTTGAGAGAATCTCTGTTTCACATTACCGTATCACTAGTGTTTTCCATGCCGACGCAGTGAATTTCCGTTACGATAGGCACAGAATGAGTCATTAGAAAGAATATTTTAAAGTACGTCCATTAAGTTTAAAAATAAGTTTAAAAATACTGGGAATATGTATCTGTCGCAATGTGAACGGTTCTAAATGTTCCCTACGCTCTGCTATTTAATATGAATAAAACAAAATCTGTCTATTTTAAATTTTCTTGTGTTGTTATAAAACTCTTAAAATAACTTTAAAGTAACTTCGAGACAATGCGATATATACTGAAAAAAAAATGTGTTTGCAGCTTTAATTGCACAGTGAAAGAATTATATTCGGGATAACTATTTTTATAGTTAAGTGTTAATATAATGTCAATGATAATACTTTTATATACATATTGCTACTATTTTTTTACAGAACAACAAGAAGATATAGTTGGCGCTGAAAATAAATATCATTTTAATGACATTAACTATTTTTTTTTTCTTTCAATATACGATTGGTCTCGTTTTAATCTTACACAACACATACACGTTATACAGTTGCAATAACAGAACAGATAATATACTACAGAATTGATACAACATATTCCCCTTGAGAAAGATATAATAATAAGATAGCTCTGCAAAAAATTTCTCTGTAGAATTTGAAAAGAAGAGTGTGTATCACAGAGACAAACTAATTGTGTTATTATACTTGTCCCCTTCCTATCTAAAAATTCCGTTCTTCACATTTCTTTGTCGTCCTTTGTGTCTCCATACCCAACAGAGGTATTTAAACATTCTGGCGACTCATTCTGTTTAGTATGTATCTATGTAACATATCTCTGTAACATTCTGTTTAGTATGTATCTATATAATGTACTCGTATATACCGATTCCGATTGTCAGTAACATATCACTAAAGGTAAATCACCGAACAGGTTTCTAAGAGGCACCCTGTACACATAGTTGAACGATGAATCGCAGTATTTGCAATACTTTGAAAAAAAGAAGTAATGCTTACTAAGTGCAATACTTAACAAATAAGCGATATTTGAGCCTCCTGCCTTAAGACACTTGCCGCAGCTCCGAGAGCTTTTAGAACGACCAGATTAGTTTTCCACGGCGGCGAAATCCATTGCTCTATTTATCATATAATTATTAATAGTAACTCGGCACGTGAAAAATAAGCTCAAGGAGGAATATATCGTATGAGACAGATTACGTTATGTAGTGCGTGCTCTGAATTTTTATTTCTGCCTAATTCTTCTTTCGTCCGCGCGACGTAACAATGCTTCCAACTCTCGATGCGATCAATTATTTCCTTCAGGACAAAATTAAGAGATCGCTTCAGCAAACAATAATTTGCATGACCTTGGACGTGCCTGCGAAAAGAGAAACCGTATTGGCGCAATTTTAATGTAGAACGAACGAATTTCCTTGCACTAGTTAACATTTACGCTTGATGTTCTCGTGTTTTTAATTAATATAAAAAAAAAATACAAAAAGAACCTAATTAAAAAAATTATTATTAAAACAACCTTACATAGAACAATTGAATTCGTAACTATTTCTACTGAAAAAAAATAAAATAAAGAATATAAAAATAATTATATTAAAAAAAATTATTTCTGAGAGAAGGTTATTATATTAAACATTAATACCACTTACTTACCAATTTAATTTTGTACTTTCCACATAAATAATGATATCAAGAGGCTTCAACAAATTCCTACATTATTGTTATATTCGATTTCATTATTATATATAGAATAGGGCATTCAAATTGAGACACCTTAATATAACAAAAATGAAATAAAATAGGAAGAAAAGTTTCATTAAAGATATTGAATTTGAAGGGGGATATATTTTGACCTCAACTTCGTTGTATTGTCAATAATTCAAGATTATTTCAAGATCAACGTAATTTTTTTTAATTTTATACAATTTTTTTAGTACAAATTGATTTCTCCCCATTAAAAAAATGAAGTTGACTTTGGAATGTCCTCGAACTATTGACGATATAATGAAGTTAAGGTCACCGAAATACATTCCCCTTCAAATCCTACAACTTTTGTCTGAAACATTTCTTTCTATTTTGCTTCATTTTTATATTAAGGTGTCTCAATTTAAATGCTTCATCCTATATATTGTTTAGCTAACTTCATCTTCCTTTAGTGGAACATTATTTAAAAAAAAACTATCCGAGCAACAAATTTTTTTCTTTGATAACTTGAGCAACAATTGAGCTACAAATAAAAATATTAATTAGAATCGCTACTACTAACTTTATCTCGCTAACTTATAAAACATTCTTTATTCTCTCTTTTACTTGCACGCCTTATCAAAAATTACTATAACCTAAGATATCTGCCAGCGCTCTGGGTTTATTAATTGTTCGCAGATTTAATCTGTAACAATTCGTACTCCTTATCCTGAGGCGATGGTATATAATACTAACCTTTTATGCTTGTATTGTTTACAGACGCATGGTTTAACCCTGAAAGACTGAATCCACGAGGTAAGAGGACAAGAAGTATTATTTTCGTTTTCTGTTTGTAGCGTAGTAACGTCCTGATGAGAACATCCACGTGCAATCAAGATGGAATCCACGTAAGGAAACTAATTCCACGTAAATTCCATGGATGTTCTCATGAAGGTCCGTCAATCATTGCACTTCGAAAATTTTCGAAGACTCGCCAGATGTACACGGTCAGTCCCGAAAGTTTCCGGACTTTCATTAAAGCTCACTCTGTAAGGTAATAATTATACATTTTTACTTCTAATCATTTGAAATACATCCCTTCCGAAGAAATATAATCTTTACAACGATCGTATTGCTTTAGAAAACTCCGCTGAAAGTCTTCCTTTGAGATGTTCGAAATGATGGCCTTGGTCGAAGCCTTCTGAATGTCCAAAATAGCGTCGAACTGTTTTCCCTTCAGCTTTATTTTTAATTTCGGGAACAAAAAATAGTCACATAGTGCCAAATCTGATGAATATGAGGAATGATCAAAGATTAGGACCGATTGGGAAGCGAGAAATTTACATACGGCGATGCATTTGTAAGCCAGAATTGTCATATAGAAGCGACCAATTGTCTTGCGTTCGGTATTGAGGGCGAATCCGACCAACTTTTGCCAGAAAACATTTTATAACGCCCAAATAATAATCTCCATTAACAGTTTTGTCTTGTGGAACGAATTCCTTATGGATAATCCCATCCGAATCATAGAAAATGATGAGCATGGTTTTCACTTTTGATTTCTACACACTTTTTTTGGTGTTTATTCTTCTGAGCTTTTCCATGTTGAGCTCTGGCATTTCATAAGCGGCTCATATTGAAAACACCGTGTTTCATCACCCGTTATAATTTTTTTTAAGAAATTCGGATCATCATCAGCGACTGAAATGATATCTTGAGCGTGCAGGACTCGGACTCATTTTTGGTCGTTAAAAAATGGCGAATAAATCGCACAGACTTTTCGCAGTTTCAAATTTTCGGTCAAAATTTGACACATTTGTGACTTACTAATCCCAGTGATATCCTCGATGAATCTTACGGTGTACAACGATTTTGTTTAAGCAGATCATGAATCTTTTTGACTGTTAGACTGATTGATGGTTTCCCGCTGCGCTTGTCATCTTCCAACAATTCTCCCATCTCGAAATTTCATGAACCGCTTGAAAACGGATGTACGAGATAGTGTTTTACTTCCATAAGTCTTCCGTAATATTACTAATGTTTCTGTGAACGTTTTGCTCAATTTCACACAAAATTTGATATTTACCTTTTGTTCCATCGTGATTTCTCGACGAGTGTCACAAAAGTTTTATATTTGTGGTACAACATTGTAAGTTGAATTGAATGTTCCTCTAACAACCGTTAGTGTTCTCTCTCTAACAACAAAATTTGTGAACGAAACTTCAACAAAAATAGTGCAACTTTATTTATATAGACGGCGCCACTAACCCCGTGGGTACGAAGAAAGTTCGAAAACTTTTGGGATAGACCGTATACGGCTCATGTGGTATCTTTTGCGTATTACAATATCCAAACCTAGTAAAAACAACTAGCCATAAAAATTATATCAATATTAAAATTTTCCACTCAATAATATAAATGCAATGTAACACATTTTGCACATAACGATTATATTGTTGAACGAAAATGTTGAAATAAAGTTGTTAGTTTGTGTTTACTTAGAATTTAAGTTTTTTCATAATATACATAAATCTAATATATCTTATATTACATACAAATTCATCTTTAACACATTCGCTACGATAATTTTTTTCTTTATGTCTACGTGAACAAACTAACTCTGTTTTACACAATCACTTAAAAAAAGAACACGAGGCAGTCTGTGGGAAAGATTTCTTGAATGAACCGCGGTAGCGGGCACGTTAAAGTTTTTTTACACGTGATAAACCATACAATCCCGTGACGTCGTAATGAATTGAGACGAATGGACTTCGTGTGGACTGGGATATCTGTTATTAAGGTGAACCACAGGAGATGCAACAGGAGGAAGATAATATATTTATTACAATGAGAGATAGGGCGAAGTTTTACCGCGGGAGAACAAACTTCTTAGCACGACCGTGACGTAAGCGGAAAGTGTTTTCCTCGGCGGACTCCTGCGGGGGACCACTCGTGTCACGAAGCGAAGAGAATCATAGAGGGGTTGCTCTCCTTCTGAAGGGACGCCCGAGACCGGAAAGTCGGGACGCATAATAGGTCGGCACGGTCAGAATTTCGCATCGGTGGTACTTTTGCCGGTCCGTTCGTCTATCCGTCCGATGCCCGCCGTTCTCGGATGCAACTAAATATAACGTCCAGCCAGTCTCTCGTTGGTCCAATGCCAGTTTTCCGAAGATCCTCGTCGGGGTCTTCAAGCCAACAGTAGTTCCCTTGGTCGACGAAGTTGTCAGTACCGGGACGTGCGTGTGCCGCTCGCTCGCTCGCTCGCTCGTCCGTCTGTTCTCTAGTGCTCTTTCCGTTCCGCTCGATCATCCAGAGTCGGTGCAGCTTCTCTTCTCCCGTCCAGCCGGTTGTTGGACTCCACCGTCGCATTGGAACTTTTGTTCGTGTAAATAATCGTCGACCTAAGAGACCAGACAAAGAAAGAAAAAGAGAGAGAGAGAGAGAGAGAGATAAAGAGAGAGGGAGAGAGAGAATGAACCTAGGGAAAATGGCCATCACCAAAGAAGAATGTGAGTAACGGCGAGGATTTTGTGAGAACGGCGACGATGAGTATTTGGCACACGTCGCACTGGCACTCACCGAGATCTCGGGCCTCCGCGGATGCAGAGAGGAACAGCGTGGGGCTAGAGGGGCACGATGAATACGCGAGTAAAATATAAGGAATTACGTGTAAAATGTAACCGGGAACACAATGGAACGATGAACCGCGTGAAGTCGTTGATCGCCAAGTGGCAAACGCGGCCGGCTAATAAAGCAGAACGAAAGTGCTTCCGCATTTATTGAGGTGTGCCCGGATCGCGTCTATTGTTTGTGTTATTCGCCGGATGATTTTCCTTGCCTATATGTTCCTCTCGTGTCCGATTGTGCCTTGAAGCCGCGAATTGTCCTGTGCCGTAAGATGCCGGGGTATAGAAGTTTGATGAGAACCTCTATGCCAGAAGTTTTGTCACGTTACATATAGTTTTCGTCGTCTAATTCTGTCGGTGCTTCGACGAGAAAGAAAGAGAGAAACAGAGAGAGAGAGAGAGAGAGAGAGAGAGAAAGAGAGAGAAATTGACTCTTTGACACGAATCCGGCCATCGGTGATGGCGTGAAGAGACAATTATTTGGTGTTACAAGTCGAGCGATTTAATAGACCGGACGGGTATGCGTGTGCATGCGTGTGTAGCGACCCTGAAAAGAATCCAATAATAGATAGCTCGGGAATCGTCGATATCCCGTTGATATTTCATTCGCGAGCGTCATGATCTTGCCGAAAGGCGGCATCGATTCGCGCGCACTAAAAAATTAGTTTGGTTGGATTTACCTGACAATGGATAAACAAAATGCATTTTGGTTGAAGGAAACAGAATTTCTGGTAATGAAAACCAAATTTAGTTTATGAGAACTAGATATTTTGTTTCCTTTAACCTAAAACGCGTTTGATTGTCCATTGTACAGATATAGGTAGGTATGTGTAATAGATCCAATCAGACTCATTTTTCAATACAAGTTACCTCTTTGTAGTTATATACTGGTTTTCAAAAACAGCTTGAAACACTTTCTCGGTGTAACTTAGATTGCAATGTGTGTGAAAGAACTAATTTTTCTGAAAATTTCTCTCTCTCTCTCTCTCTCTCTCTCTTTCGTTGTTTGTGTTCCGAACTGCATCGAAAAAGAAAAGTTCAACCTGTCTTGAAATCCAGCATATGTGGTCAGTCACAAAAAGTTTGCAAAATTTTTTTTCGATAAGTTTCGCAACGCATTTCGTGTCCAATCACTGAACTCTATGCTGTACTAAAAATACTAAGTGTTACGGTAAGAAGCCGGGGTATGAAGTAAAAGATAGATAACATAATAAATACTATTTCCTTCTCTATTTTGTAATTTCTGACTGGTCAACAATTTTCTATTATCTTTTTTACAGACATCCGAATGTACTCATTTATTTGTTAAAGATAATGTTCAAGACATATTATTCGTAGTTTTTACAATTTTTTGTGATAGAAAAATTTAATATTTTTTTTGTCCTCTTCCTGTCCAGTAATGGACAATTTTATCCAATTTTATCAATTACGGATATTACAAATGCGTTACTTTGAATGAACTGATATTTCTAATTGGAATAGTACGACATTATAAAATAATACAAATAGTATTTTCTTTCCTATTGTACACAATGAATGAAATGAATTCTCTTAGATGCGTTCCAAAACTTATAAAAAAAACGTTGCAACCTTCTTGTGACTAAAAATACAGCCGGTTTTCAACTGTTTCTTCACTGTAAACACCAATAGCGTCATTCTGCCTTCGTCTTTATCGTCGGATATTATATAAAAGACTCCATTAATTTTATTCTCGTAGTGACATATCGAAAATTTCCAATCAGGCTTGTTATTAATATTCGTACATCATGATTATTGATTGCATCATACGGACCGCACGCGTATTTCAAAACAACCGCTCTGCACGCAGTTGCGCTAACAATATTTCTATTTATATATACTAAATTTTATAATTTTATATACAGGATGTCCCAAACTAATCTTGGTTTCCGTGATGTGCAAGTAGAACGCGCAAAATTAAGCAAAAAAGTCCTGTACCATTTTGTAAATAACACGCAAAATTTCGAGTTATCAATGATTAAAGAAGCATCATATATATATATATATATATATATATATATATGATGCTTCTTAAAATAATTTTAAACGTGAGCACTATGCCTTCAATGACTTTAGCCGTTTGTCGTATTCAATATTTATTTCGCGACGGGTAACTATTGTCGCCTGTCATAATGAAAAGGTTAATGGAGTTTTTTGTACAAAGATGAA